TATCACATATTGGTGCTACTAGCCTGAGTTTCCTGACCTCCCCACTTAAGCAAAAGCTCCTCAGGCTCCATGTGCTTCTCCTTTCTAACACTTCTCATGATTGTCATTTTATATTAATTGCTATCACTGTCCATTTCTCTGACAAAACTGTAAACTCCAACATGCAGATGAAGACATTGTGCCTATTTGGGGTACCATTGTATCCCAAGCCTTGAGCACCATGGCTGGAATGTAACAGGCACTCAAATATTTGTCATATAAAGGATGTCTTCAGCATCAACTGATGTCAGCTTAAAGCCAAATATTGGTAGATAAGGAAACTTTCTGGGGTGATGGAAGTGTTCTGTACCTTGATGTGGGTGGTGGATATACAGATGTTTATGTAACAATTCATCAAGCTATAAACTTAAGACTGAGCTGAAGGGACACTCTTTACTCTTCTACCCTGTCTATTCCCCTGATAAAGGAAAAGGTAAAATTAGGAGATAAAGAGGGAGACTTTGCCTCTTTATTTGCAAATATCCCTCCTCTTCCTGGTTTCAGGTAAGATTTTATTCTAGAGTACAGCTGGGAAGACCTTATAGCATGCATTTTGCTTGCAGGGAATCTCTGACTCTGTCCTAATTTCACCCTGTTTTCTCAGAACTGACAGGGACTTAGAAGGCAGTGTACTTTTTTTTTTTTTTTTTCCTTAAGTCATTCATAGCACATCTTCTCTCTTCAGATGCTCCAATGGCCTTCATCATCGAAGGGTGGTGGCCCGTTTTCAATAGGGGCATCTCAGGTTGCCTAAGATGCATTGCACTGTTTTAAGGGCCCTTCCCCATCACATTTAGAATTCAGAATGTTTGTTGCCTATAATGTAAGTGTGAGGCCTTGGCTGTACTGTGGGCCAGGATGAACTCATTAAGCTTCTGCAAAACTCCAGCTGTGGGCTGCTGGATTCCAGGAGGACATACTGACAAAAGGCTTGCTAGGGAAGAAACTGCAGGAGTTGCACAGTTTCCATAACAGCCACTGATGATAAAGGACAATCAAGCATCTCTGCTTAGAGGGCTAGATCCAGTAGCCTGAGGGATGAAGGACAGAGTTTTGCTGTCCCAGGGCTCTGACAGTTGCCAGGGGTAACAACGAAGAGGGGATCCACAGTTGCTTCCTCAGGGAATTTTCAAAGAATCCAAGTGGCTGCCAGAACATTCTTCTTTTATAAACAGACAGTATTCTATTTCCTAGAGTATAATTATAAACACACCTGCTCCAACTGTGGAATCTTTCCATAAGCGAGCAATAAACTCTCAGCCAGGAGACCCAAGTTCTATCTTGAGCAAGCAAACACATCAACTGATTACTATGGTGCAAAACAGTATATTAATAACACTGCAGACTCCTTTCCGATTAGGAAAGGTTTTCCTCTTCTGCCTTGATTTGTACTTAAGCAAAGAGAAACTCAACCTCAATATTATAGAGGAAAAATTTAAATCAGTGAGGCATTTACAATCTAGATAGAAAAGGGTGCCAATATGCAAATTTAGCATATGTCTTTGTTATCTAGTGCTGCTATAAAAGAAGTATCACAACGGTTTGGCTTTAATGAACAGAAATTTATTTTCTCACAGGTTAGGAGGCTGGAAGTCCAAATTCAGGGTGCCGGCTCTAGGGGAAGGCTTTCTCTCACTGTCAGCTGTGGAAGAAGGTCCTTGTCTCTTTCAGCTTCTGCCCCTGGGTGATCTTCATGTGGTTTGTTATTTCTCTTCCTCCATCTCTTCTCTCCCTTTCTTGTTTAGTCTCTTTTAGATCTCAAACAAGATGAACTGAAGATACATCCTACACTAATCCTGTCTCAGTAACATAACAAAGACAATCCATTCCCAAATGGGATTATAACCACAGGCAAAAAAGGTTAGGATTTACAACATATATTTTTTGGTGGGACACAAATCAATCTATAACATTCTAGTGCTGTGTTCCCTCCATTCATATCCTTGCCACATGTAAAACACATCTACCCCATGCTATCATCCCAAAAGTCTTAATGCAAGCTCAAAATCTCATGTTCTGAATCATCTATATTAAAATTGATGAAATGTCAGGCACATTCCATCCAGGTAAAAATCCCTCTTCACATGTCAACTGGTAAAATCTAGACTACAAGTTGTCTGTTTCCAAAGTACAATAGTGGAAAAGGCACAAGGTAGACATTTCTATTACAAATGATGGGAATTGGAGGGAAAGAGGGGATAACAGGAACCACACAAGTCCAAAACCTAGCTGAACAAATCACATTACTTTTCCAGGCTTGGAAATAATCCTTTCTTCTCTGATGGTCCTCCTCTACAGACTCTGGGTGATAGCCATATGCTCTGGATTCTGGGTAAAGACCCCTCAGTCCTGGGCTCCAGCTTTACCCTCTAGGCCCACCACAATGGCAACTCTGCACCCTTGGCTCTGTGTAGCCTCCTTCTTCTAGTCCATCTGAATGGTGACTCCAAACCCCTGGTCTCAGCAGGCCTCATTCTTCTGTCCCTTCAGCACTGGCCCCACCTCCTCAGATTTGGATGGCGGCTTCAACAATCTGGCACAACTTAATGGCAGGTCCACACTCCAGAAGCAAGCTGGCAATGATCTGACTCTTTGAAATCTGTGGCCCTACCCTTTGAGATCCAGGAAACCATGGCCCCACCCTTTGAAACTTACAAGGCCCTACTTTCCATGCTCCTTCCAACAGCACCTTAAAACTCTTCCAGCCTGTTCCCATTCCCAATTCCAAAACCCATTCCACATTTTAGCTATCTCTTAAAGCAGCACTCTACTCTCCCAGTACCAAATACTATCTTATTCATCTAGTGCTGCTAAAACAGAAATACCACAAGTGGATGGTTTTAACAAACAGAAATTTATTTTCTCATAGTTTATTGTTGTTGTTGGGTGCCATTGAGTTGATTCTGACTCATAGCAACCCTATGTACAACAGAATAAAACACTGCCCTTTCCTGTGCCATTCTCACAGTCCTTGCTATGCTTGAGTCCCTCATTGCAGCCACTGTGTCAATCCATCTCGTAGAGAGTCTTCCCCTCTTTTCTCTGGCCCTCCATTTTATCAAGCATGATAGCCTTCTCCAGGGACTGGTCCCTTCTGACCACATGACCAAAGTAGGTGAGATGAAATCTGGCCATTCTTGCTTCTAAGTGCAGCCTTCTAAAGCTGCACTTCTTCCAGGATAGATTTGTTCATTCTTCTCGTAGTCCATGAATACATTTTGTATTCTGTGCCAACTTCACAATTCAAAGGCATCAATTCTTCTTCAGTCCTTTATTCATTTTCCAGCTTTCACAGTTTTGGAGGCTTGGAGTCCAAATTCAGGCTGCCTCCTCTAGGGAAGGCTTTCTCTGTCAATTCTAAAGCAAGGTCCTTATCTGTTTGAGCATCTGCTTCTGGGCTACCTTCATATGGCTTAGTATTTCTTTTCCTCTATTTCTGCTTTGATGGCTTGTTTAATCTCTTTCCTATCTGAAAAGAGACTGACTCAAGACATACCTTACATTAATCCTGCCTGATTAACATAACAAAGACAACCCCTTCCCAAATGGGATTATCACCACATAGAGGTTAGCATTTACAACACATATTTTAGGGGGACACAATTCAATCCATAACAGCATGGTATATTCTTCTGGCATACAAATAACCCAGAACAGTAAAAACTAAGCAGAAAATAGCAAAGATCACTGTAGCTAAAGGAATTAAGCGTTTTGTTGTTGTCATCTTCTATTAGAGGAAGGAATGACCTCCTCACCTGTTCATGTCTAACTAATATAAAGAAAATTCTGTGTTTACAGAATTTGCTGTAATGTATCAGTAAGTATGCCAGGAACTGAGCTGGCCATGCGTTAGTCCTGTTGTTGTTGTTACTCTGAGCCCTATTCCTGACCAAATTCCTAACTACTCACACATTGGTTTCAATTTTAATTTTGTGGTTCAAATTCTCCTCCTATTTAACCATTTAATAATTCTGATGTTATATTAGCAGGATACTAGAGTAGACATGCTATACTATCTGGTAGATATATCCCACTTAAAATAGGGTATTATTTGTTGGTTGACCAAAAGAAGCAATAGACGAGAAAAGTGATCTTAAACACTCAATTTTTTCCAAGTGTGTTCAACCAATTAAGCACTCTCAATTACATACATTAATTCCCCAAACATTTTTTTTTTTTCCTGGTATCATTTATCTAGCATGTATCACACCCTAAAAGTATGGAAAGAAATGTTGACAAGCATTCAAAAAAGAGAAAATAGTTGAGGGCCCCACCCTGAAATCCCACACAAAATGACCACCCTTTAGTCTGTAGTTTAATTCTGGATAAGTGAAACTAATTTGAGACATAAGAATAGAAAACATGGGATTACACCTCAATTGCTGGATCTATAGATAAGATTTTCTAGAAGAGAACCCATGGATAGAGCACATTCCCAATCCCATGGGCGAGCCTGCAGCTGCAAGTCTCAACCAGCTGTTTGGAATTCACAATGCACTTTGACAAAGGTTCATAGGACTCCTCACACTCAGTATGTTTCTGTAACTACTGTGAAGAGAGTAGCAGTTTTCTGCTGTTGTCAAGCTAAACCAATGCAATTGTTTCTTTTGCTATATCGGATGCTTTACATACAAATAGAAAAGCTCTTTATGATAATATCCAAGTTGACTTTCAGAGCTATGACCAGCGACAACCACAAATTCAGTTGAGATTCTAGACAGTGATCGATTGAAATCTTATCACAGTTTAGAAAATCTTTATCTAGACTCAGATGGGGTCTCAAAGGACAAATGGCAAACAAACTCATGGGATATGCTAACACAGACAAGACTCCCAGAAGGTACACTAGACAAAGTCAAACACTAGATGCTGAGGAGACCAGAAGACAGATTACAGTGCTACTGGAAGAATGTCATGGGCACACCATCATGGGACACTAAGAAAAAAAATTAAATTAGGACCTCAGCATTATCCAATTCATCAATGGAAATTAGCTGGAAAAGAAAAAAGAGGGGAGAAAAAGAAGGAAAGGTTAGGAAGACAGATATAAGCCAGTTAAGTGTTAGAAACTTTGTATATAAATTATAATTCTGGATTCTTTCAGGCTAAAGCATTGTTAAACTGTGACCATCTCCTTAAGGGGTTCAGGCACTTAGGACACTGTCACCATGCATGGTGATGGCTACTCTGAGAGCAATGTTCTGTGGTAGAACAAAATAGGCAGGATGCAGCCACCCTTGGGGCTCATGTCCCAGACACCAAATATCATGGGGCACTTAACCAAGTGCCCAGCACTGCACCCTTGGACTCCTTCATAGCATGAAAACTTAAACTCAACAGAGCTGTGAACAACTACAAAGTCCCTAATCAAAGGTCATCTTTTTTTAGAAAAGAGTGGTGAAAACCAAAATAGGACCAACTAAGTCTAGGAGAAAATTAATCCTTTCATCCTATTTTATGACTGAATGGTAAACTGAGATGCATACTACTCTGCAGTTGGGCTAATTCTGAAGCAGCTTCAACTTCGGAAAGTCATAAGAACAACATCCCAAGACTGTTGTTCTTTTGTGTGCCATCAGTCAATTCCTACCCAAAGCAACCCTAGTCCAAGACTAGAAACTGCTGATCCCGATTCCGGTGATGATGAAAGGTAACAACGTTGTTCCCCCTAGGATGATCAGTGTCTGTCTACTCAGTTGCTACTCTAGGGTTAGTAACAAGTAAAGGAATAGACTAGTATCAAGTCCACAAAAAAACAATTAAGAGAACTATCACAATTATGTTTGTTTAAGGATAGATGGATGATCTTCAACTGATTTTTATTATGCATCATTAATATTTAGTACATTTTACAAACGTAAGTCAGGATCAGAAACACTAGTCTTTACCTGTAAAAAAGAAGCACTGCTAATTAACGGGGACTCACAATTTGTATGAACCAAAAACCCTGACATTACCTGAGATCATAAACTCTCTAGAACTAAAACAGATAAAACTATTCAGTAGTGAAAATGGATTTTAAATAAATTCTGAATTATCCTTTTACATTCATTCTTGACCTGAATTTCTTTCCAAAGCTCTTTGGCTAATAACTTAAGACACCAACGCTTAATACAAAACCTACAGTAAAACAAACAAAACAAAACCCGTTGTTGTTGAGTTGATTCCAACTCATGGAAACACCATGTGTTACAAAGTAGAACTGCTAGAGAGGATTTTCTTGGGCATAATCTTTGTAGAAACAGATCACCAGGACTTTCTTCCAGAGCACTGCTGTCCAGCTCAAATTGCCAGCCTTTTGGGTTAGTAGTTGAGTATAAAACACTTGTGCCACCCAGGAACTTTAAAACCTACAGTAGACTACAGAAAATACCTATGCCACATTTCCAAGCCAGGTCTAGGGGCCTGAGGCTTTGCTATGAGTTATTGACAGGCTCAGATTAAATTTTAGGAAAATGTATCTATGGTAGGTTATTTTCTTCTAAACATGGACATGGTTTAATCTGTTTTAACAGAGTTTAGTAGGCATTGCACACACAGAGTTATGTGTGAAGCCCTGACATAATTTCCCACCCCCATGGGTCAATGCATATATATATTTTTTTTTTGCAGTGCTCCCTCCCTTCCTTTCCCCTCCCAGCCCTGTAACCAACAAAGTTTCCCTCCATATATAAACATTTCCTTGACCCTCCACGACAACAAACTAATACTATTTGTCCTTCTGTGATTGACTTTTGTCACTCAGCATAATGTCCTCCAAGTTCATCCATATTATGCCAGGTTTTGCAGACTCTACATTATTCTTTAGGGCTGCATAGCATTCCATTATGTGTATGTAACTTAGTTTGGTCATCCGCTCTTCCACTATAAATCTTAGAGATAAGTCCCTTGCCAGATATGTAATTATTGGCAAATAGGAATTTGCTGCTGTCATTCTTGTTATGTGCTTTTTCATGGTGTCGATTTCTGTGTCCCATATAATTTTCTATGCTGAGCTTGTTTTGTTTATGAATCATGTTATCACTTCCTTTATCGCTATTGTTTTAGTATTTGCTGAATATTTATGCTGGTCCTCTTTTTTGATGTGAAGGTTTATCATTTTTCTTTGAGGTTACCCTGTGATTTACAGTTTTCTTCCCAAGTTTAGAACAGACCGTTCTATCTTGTAGTTGTCTTGACTTCCCTACCATCTAGAACTTCTGTAACAAAACAGATTTTTTCCCCTCTTTTTGGTTTGTAGTTGTCTTCATTTGTCAATTGATGTCTCTGGTTCCCTGTTTACAATCTTGTAGGCTTATTTACTTTGGATACTTCCATAGCTGGGTTGGTTTCTGGGTTGTATCATCATGTGTGTTAATGGTCAGTTGTTGTTGGCTGTTGTTGCTTCTCTGTCCAAAGGGCTCCCTTTAGGATCTCTTGTAAGGTTGGCCTGGTTTTAACAAATTCCCTTAATTTCTGCTTATCTGGAAATGTCGTAATTTCACCATCATATTTAAGGAACAATTTTGCTGGGTACATAATTCTTGCTTGGAAATTTTTCTCTTTCAGGGTTTTATATATACTATCCCATTGTCTTCTTGCCTGCATGGTTTCTATTGAGAAATCCGAGCTTAGTCTTATTGGTTACCCCCTGTAGGTAACTTTTAGTTTTTCCCATGCTGCTTTCAGGATTCTTTCTTTGTCTTTGGTTTCAGTAAGTTTGATGATGACATGTCTGAGTGATTTTCTTTTGGAGTCTATTCTGTTTGGGGTTTGTTGGACTTCCTGAGTGGATATATTCTTATCTTTCATCATACCAAGAAAATTTTCCTCCAACAAATCTTTGACAATTTTCTCTGTGGTTTTATTTGTCTCTTCATGTTCTGGAATTCTGATTACACATAGGTACATGTAGAACCTTAGGCTTTCTTCATTTTGTTTTGATCTTTTTTCTGATTGATCCCTTTCCAAAGAAGTGCTCAGGTATTTGCCTTCAATCTCACTAATTTTGTCTTCCACTGATTCAATTCTGCTTCTTTGCCCATTCAATGTCTTATCTATTTCTGATAATTTAGTATTAATCTTCTGGATTTCTCTCTGTGGATTTTATATCATTTCTAATTTTTCATTTATTTTGTCATTTTGTTCTTGTATTGTCTTTTGAAATTGTTTTAGAGTTTTCTCTGTGTTTTCCTTGATCTGTCTCTCAATTCGTTGAAAATACCTAAATATAATTCTTTTGAATTCCTTATCAGGGAGTTCCAATGCTGCATCTTCCTCAGGGATGTGTTTTGGGTCTGTATTCTGGTCCCTTGTTTCTCCTGCTTTATCTTGCTTCTTTGTGTGGACTGTGATGCTCTGTTGTCTCCAAGGCATTGTGATGTTTTTGTGTTTATATTTAATTGGTGATTGTATGTTGGCATGACTTGCCCATGATTTTAATTTTTTTGTTTTGTTTTGTTTGTATGTTATCTAAGCAAGCAGATATCTGGAAATGCTCTTGTATTTGCTAGTTGACAGCACTTATACACTCACCACCTGTCTCCTTTCCTGTTGTCCGCCTCTCGTATATCCCTGCCAACCTTGTCAACAGAGCCCATTCTTAGGTCCCTGGAATCTGAATGAGAATGCTATCACTTTAAAATCTAAAATGGCTGCACCCTTGGCCCCTCTAAATATCCAATATGGCTGCTGCATGTAAACAATCAAAACAGCTGCGCCCTCCAGACAGCCATAAGTCAACAGCTCAGGTTGTCTCCTTCTTTGCTGTTTCCCTTCCTAGTCATAGGCAACCAGAGCAGTCTTCCATGCTGCCTTTGGTGACCCAGGCTGATCTTAGGTCAATTCTCTGGTCCCAGCACCACTTGGAAATATTTAGGCTGTTGGTCCCATCAGAGTAGCTGACAGTCTGCAGCTCCAACCATCTCTGTATTCACTGTTTTTGTTCAGGTTTTTCCACTAGTTGGTGCCTAATCTACTTCTGCATAGTTCCTTTCAAAGCTCAGGGCTCCAAGATTATCTTCTGTATCTCTGTTAATTGATTTTTCTTTTGTTTGTTGAAGGGGGTCTGTGTTGCTTGTCTATTCCTTCATCTTACTGGAAGTCCCTCTTGTCAGTCCTGACATAATTTTAAAGTTTATTAACTTTGAATAAATAGGTTAGAAAGAGACTATAACCATCATATAATAAAACTGTACTTCACAGATACTTTGGTAATAATTTTGAACATTTCTTTATTTTATATATATATACCTTTTAAATATGTACTTTATTTTTTATACATACCTCTCTTAGAATACGCATTGCTGGTCCTTTTCTACACACACACTAGTTAAAGATAATTTTATTTATCCTTAAATGATCAGGATTAAATACATGCAACAATCTTTTTCAATCAGCCCCACCCTTACCACTGTGATAGTTTTTAGGGGAGCAACTGTTAGGCCCATGGACCAACCACCTGCTACCACTGATGTGAGATGTTCATATGGAGCCTGATCAAAACTACAGTCTTTGGATAGCCTTGGGACAATCATAAATTGTAAAGTCACTTGGCATTCACTAGGGGATGTTTTCAGCTGCGTGAAAAATCAGAAGGGAGACAAAGACTATCTATGTGCGTTCTACTGTATTCCATGTTCTCAGGTCGACTGCCCTGTGATGTTTATATGACTGTGTAACATAACTGAACCTGATGTGGAGGTCTTCCAAATACTCAACTCATGTCAACCCATTCTCTTAGCATGTAGTGGTGAAAACAAAGGACTCTGGTATTAGATTATTTGCCTGGATTTAGGAGGAGCCCTGGTGGTGCAGTGTTCAAGTTCATAGCTCCTAACCAAAAGGCCAGCAGTTTAAATCCACCAGCTGCTCCATAGGAGAAAAAATGAGGCAGGCAGTCTGCTTCCATAAAGATTATAGCCCTGGAAAACCTATGGAGCAGTTCTACTCTATCCTGTAAGGTCACTGTGAGTCAGAATCAATTCAAATGCAAAGAGCTTTTTACAAGCCTTGG